GGACAGAGGTGAGGCTGACTGGCCTATAACTGCCTGGATCTTCCTTCTTGCCCTTTTTGAAGATCGGAGTGACATTGGCTATCCTCCAGTCTTCAGACACCTCCCCCGTCCTCCAAGACCTCTCAAAGATGACAGAAAGTGGTTCAGCAATCACCTCTGCCAGCTCCCTCAGCTCCCGTGGATGCATCCCATCGGGTCCCATGGATTTGTGAACATTGGTGTTGCCTAGGCGCTCTCGGACCACCTCTTCCCTGACTGAAGGGAGGTCTTCCATTTCCCAGATCCTCTCACTAACCTCCAGGGTCTTGGATTCCTGAGGGTGAGCTTTTTCACTGAAGACAGAAGCAAAGAAGCCATTCAGTATCTCTGCCTTCTCAGCATCCCCTGTTACCAGAACACCCCTGTCACTTAGCAGGGGAGCCACATTCTCCCTAGTCTTCCTTTTACTGTTAACATACTTAAAAAAACCTTTTTTATTATCCTTTATCCCCTTCACCAGATTTAATTCCAGGCGGGCTTTAGCCTTCCTTGTCGCATCCCTGCAGGCCCTGACAACATTCCTGTATTCTTCCCAAGTGGTCAGACCCTTTTTCCACATTTCATGGGCCTTCTTCTTTCCTTTGAGTTTGCACATGAGCTCCTTGCTCATCCACACAGGTCTCCTGCCACCCTTTCCTGATTTCTTCCTCACAGGGACGCACCAATCCTGAGCTTGGAAGAAGAGCTGCTTAAATGCCGACCAGCTCTCACAGGCCCCCTTACATTCTAACACCTTAGCCCACGGGATAGCTCCAAGTAGGTCCTGGGAGAGATCAAAGTTGGCTCTCCTGAAGTCCAGGGTAGCAATCCTACTTTTTGCTTTACTTCTTCCACTCAGGATCTTGAACTCCACCATCTCATGGTCACTAGAACCCAAGCTGTCCCCGACCTTTACTTCCCTGACAAGCCCTTCTCTGTTAGTGAGAATAAGGTCCAGCAGTACCCATCTCCTCGTCGGTTCCTCAACCACCTGCATCAGGAAGTTGTCTTCAACACATTGCAGGAACCATCTGGACCGCGCATGCCTGGCCACAAGCGCCTGGGATCGTGACACTGCTTCCAGTTGCTTGTGGAAGGCCTCATCAACCTCCTCCTCCTGATTGGGGGCCTGTAGCACACTCCCACAACAGTGTCAGCCATACCAGCCCGCCCCTTGATTCTCACCCACAAGCTCTCCACTGCTACACCACTCTCCCCCAGGTGGAGTTCAATACATTCTAGCTGCTCTCTTACATAAAGAGCACCACCCCGCCTCGCTGGCCGATCCATGACAACATTCCAGTCATGCGAGCTGTCCCACCACGTCTCTGTGATTGCAATGAGATCGTAGCCGTGCGACCACACGCAGATCTCCAACTCTTCCTGTTTATTTCCCATACTGCGCACATTAGTGTGTAGACACTTCAGGGAAGCAGCATTCCCCTGCCACACTCCATCCGTACGAACTCCACCCTCATCACCCATCAAGTTCACTTTTGAACCTCGAACTACCTGAACCTCAGCAGCCCTCATTTTGCCCGCTTCCCCCTTCTTTCCTAGTTTAAAGACCTTTCAATGAGGCCCGCCAGCTCCTGGGCTAGGATCCTTTTACCCCTTGCAGACAGGTGAGCTCCATCTGCAGCAGTCATGCCAGGAGCCGAGTAAATTGCCCCATGGTCAAAAAACCCAAAGTTCTTGTGTCTGCACCAGCCTCTAAGCCATTTATTGATGAGGAGGGCTTTTTTGATCCTCTCAGTGTCCTTCCCTGCCATTGAAGGGATAGAAGAGAAGACCACCTGCACTCCCGCACCATCCAGTACCCTCCCCAGACCCTTGAAGTCATTCTTAAGAGTCCTTAGGCTTCTCTTGGCAGCATCATCACTGCCAACCTGAACTACCAATAAGGGGTAGTAGTCAGATGGGCGAATAAGCCCAGGCAGCTTTCTAGTGATGTCCCTGACCCGTGCCCCAGGGAGGCAGCACACTTCCCTCCAGTTGGGTCAGGTCAACATATCAGGCCCTCAGTTCCTTGTAGAAGGGAATCACCTACAACTATCACCCTCCTTTCTTTACCGGAAGGGGCGGTCTTCTAGCATGGAGCTGACCGCCTCTCCTTAGGAAATCTCAGAGGCTGTACCACCATCTCATTCTCAGCCTCCTCACCCTCCAGTTCCAGGGTTTCAAACCTATCAGAGGCACCCAAGGAACCGAGGTAGGTCGGGAAGGGCACCGCCTGTGTCGCTGAGATGGGACGTGCTGCCATTCCTCCTCTCCTCTCAAGTCAGCTCTCTCGGTTTGATTACGGCAAGGGAGAGAGTCCACCACAGGCTGAGGGTTGCAATCTATGCTTGTTTCTCGCAGAGAGTTACACCACCCGTCTATCTCCCTCTCACAGTCCCTAATGGATCTTAACCTCTCCACCTCCTCCCTAAGCTCCACCACAAGGCTGAGCAGCTCATCCACGTGCTCGCACCTCACGCAGGTGGCATCCCTCCCATCGTCCCCCGGCAGCAGCAGACTCAGGCACTCCCTGCAGCCAGAGACTTGAACCGCCACAGTTCTGGGCAGTCCCTCTGTCTGGGTCGCAACAGTCTTCTTGGAGCACGCCTGCCGTCTGGTAGAGACCATGTTTGATCTTATAGTCTCCAGGTCAGCGAGTGGGAGAGCGGTCACCTGAGCAAGGACAAGAACGCTGACTTGTCCTGCCAAAAGACCCACCTCCCACACCAGTTAGCAGTGGGCAGCAACACCCTTTTTCCACCGGGAAAGCCCACGTTGGGTGGGCTAGCTCCCGCCCTCCCGGCGGCTCCTTATAGCCTAACAGAAAAAAAAAAAAGAGTCAAGCTTAATCACGGAGATAAGAGTGAGCGGTGCCGGCTCCACCCTTGCTGTCTCAGCAGCCCGCCCACAAGCTGCCAGCTGCTGCCACTCCCAGCACCAGCACCGTGCTTTTGCTGGTTCAAAAAAGCCCTAAAAAGAGCTTTTAGACGGTCTTTTTTGCTTCCTTCTTTCTTGCATCCCTGCCCTGAAGCTGGTCTCCGCAGCAATATTGGCTTTCTCCAATTTAGTAGCAAAATTAATGCTTAACAAATATATATTGTGCATATATCTCTATTGTCTTCAAATGGTGAAATTCTTTAGCTGGTCTCAGATATGTAATGGAAAATACAGATGTGAACAAACCATTGTAGTTTTATGACTACTAACCTTTATTGGGTAAATGTATGTTTTACAAAGTAAGCAAACATTGCTAACACCTACACAGAATAATTTTTCCAAGGTTTTTCTTACTTTGAATATTAACTTGTGATGCCATACACCTCTTACATCTCATGTATTTATTTCAGAAGAACAGCGTTATCTGAACACTTGATTGGTAGGTTTAAAATTGAAGGCATGCCAGAATCTTACTAAGATACTTATCATAATAACATGGTCTTGGGTTTTAAAATGTACCTGGTACAAACCCATCCCAAATTCATGAGAGAATTAAAGTCATCAGAGGACAGTTCGTTAAGATGAATATTTTCAGTGGTTGCTGCATAAACCTAAAAAATCGCAAATCACAGTCATCAAGTATCAACATGCACTATTCATCATAAGGTGTGATTTCCATATTCTAGAAATAATACAAGGACATACAAATTCATAGGCAGATTTTATTCACTTTCTCTGTTGTACCAATAATGGTATCTTTATTTAGTATAAGAGAATTTCAAATAAATGTTGTCCTAACCCTGCCTGCTTGCTACATATTAATGACAGGTACTTTTGTCTTTACCCTGTTGAAATATAATCTGTATTTCATTAGTTCATGGTGGAGAGCCAGAATGTGCACAAGATGCATTCAAACTTCTGTATTTCTTTAGTATATTTCTTGTTGAATCTGACAAAAAGAAAATAGTAAGGCAGGACTCCAGATACTCGGATTTTGAAAAACTGGTGTAAATGTTAATGCTGAAGAATGGCCCAATTTACTATGGTCAGAACTGCTGAGCCAGCCAGTGTTTGCTTTCACCAGCTAAATATTGAACTAGGTTGCTACAGCTTTTCCAGGCTGCAATGTCTTTTCCTGAAATACTGGCTCTAGGAAGGCTGGTAAGAAAACTATATCAACATCTTCACTTTTAAGTAAATATGCTATATTAAAATATACATCCTTCTGAAAGATCCCCAAACTCCATAGTTCATATGTTTCTCTGTGCTGTTGACATGTCCCAACTCCTCTCTGTTTTGACAGCTTGCATTTGTTACATCAGGTTTCATCAATTTAAAGGCCAGGAGGAAACATGGCAGGTCCCCTGTCCAGTCCCCTGCTCTCTGCAGACTGAATTACCTAAGTGTCAAGTTGCGACTAAGGCTGAAATTACTGCCGCTCTTTTTTTTTCTTTGTGTTTTGGAGAGAGCAAGCAAGCATAAATACAAACTAAAAATCTGTGAAAACTGACATCATAGGCATCTTCAGAGGTTTGAGATGGAAATGCAATAAAGCTGAATCCTGGACCTCTTTATTTTCATGGGTTTTTTTTATGTGTAAAGTTAATTCTAGTCCAGTAAAAATGTCTTCCTTTAAAATTGGTCTCAGCTGAGCCTACTTATAATCCATTCTGGCCTGGTTCCATGCAAGTTTAAATGAACACACTATTCCAAAAAAAAAAAAAAAAAAAAAAAAAAAAAAGTATCAATTTCTCAATTCCTGGTATATACTTTAGTTAAGTATATTTACAGACAAAATTGGCTTTATTGAGCAAACTGCTCTCTAAATTACTGAAGCTATTTTGCCTTTGTTTTTCTCTTTGAAGAAAAGAGCAATAAAAATTGTGTTAACTACCCAATGTATCCAGCTCATCTCTGATACGGGAATAGCAATGCACTGCATCAAAACAAGCCTTCCTGACCTATACAGTTCCACAGTCCAGAAAAGAAATGCAGTTCCAAGAAGAAGCTTCTTCACATAAACAGCTATTTGGCTGTTTTCTTCTTTACTTGGTTTCAAAAAGAAGAAACCCAGCAAAGGTGGAGAAACGTTGGTGGTCCCCATGGAGAGCTCCATTTCCCATCCGCAGCCAAACTTCATCTCCCTTGGCAAGTTTCAGCACAGCGCTGTTTCCTGAGGTGTCTGCCTTCCCTTTTGATTCATAGCTGAGGATGAACATTTTAACAAGTCAGTTTTTCTTTGTCGGCAATGATCAAGGAAACAATTAAAAAAAAAAAAAAGTTAATCCAAGGAAGCACATTAAGACTTGCCACTATTGAACTTTTGGAGGTTTATTTATTTATTTATTTTGCATTTGATCTCTAAGTCAAACATTGCACCTTACCTAATTTCATCATTTCTTTCAAAAATTCTGGAATTCTGAAGGTTTAAATTACATATTTTTCCTTCATAGGTTATGAGTTTTTACTATTTAAAATAAACTTATCCTCACCCTTTGCAACACTGAATTTTCTTAGATGATCTCTCTTTCCGTGCGATTCATCACAATCAAATTTAAATGCCTCAAGGTTGGAAGTCTCATGTGAGCTGGTTCTCTGTACTTCTTGCAAGGCAGCAGGTAGACAGGGTACTCAAATCACCTTGAGGACTTTTGTTGAAACACAGATGCGTTTAATGTGGGCTAACCCAACTATTCCTTTGATTGTTGGCTCTCTTTCCCCCACCCTTTGCCTTTTCTAGATTCAATGCTTTAGGGAAATAATAGGGTGCTTTTTGTTTTGCAGAGAAGATCTGCTGGGAATAAAGTACAAGGGGAGAAGGATGCAGGAACATGGTCTCAAGTTGTGCCAGAGGAGTTTTAGTTTGGATATCAGGAAACACTTCTTTACAAGCACTGGAATAGGCTCCCCAGGAAGGTGGTTGAGTCACCATCCCTGCACGTATTTAAAAACCATTTGGATGTGGTGCTCAGGGACATGATTTAGAAGAGGATTGTTAATTAGGATAGTATGGTTAGGTTGTGGTTGGACTTGATGATCTTTAAGGTCTTTTCCAACCTGAGCAATTCTATGATTCTAAGTACCCTTTGGTTGGCCTTTGTTACTGGCCATTGAAGAAGTCTAGACAGCTTAAGTAGAGCTGCTCTCATTGTAAGTGCCTAAAATGCATTGTGCCGAGTCTAAGCTTTTGTGTATGCTTTATCAGGTTTCAGAGATAAACTGGATTTTGTCTCCAGACTTCTTATTGATATTAATCAAATAACATTTTTTCAAACACTTTTTTTGCACCTGTCCTCTTGGCAATAAGCTTCTTGACCTGGTCGATATAGAAGATATTAAGTTAAAAGTGAATCTTATTCTTCTTGAATCTTCAAGAAATACATACAGCTTAGAAAATTTTTGTTCAAATTGTATTAACAAAGCCAGTAAATGGAACACCCTTGCTTCTTACTTGTCTTCACTACTGCTCTCCACCTTTACAGTAAAGTGCTTTCCCTTACCCTTCCACAAGACTATTTTTAGTTGCTGAACATTTCATTACACACTTTCACTGAAAGAAAAAAAAAAAAAGAGGGTGAAGATATGTTTTAGCAGAATGATAGTATTCTACCAGTAGACTCCAATCTGACTTGCAGTGAGAATTCATTTTCCCTTAGCAGTGAGGAACTTCTGATTAAGGATCATTTTCCAGCCTTGTCTCAGGGACAGATGCTGTGTAAATTTGCAAGTTGAGGAGGGCAAAATGTAATATTTTTCCTTAGTTTGTTATCTCACCCTGTGATATTTCTTCAAAAAAGAACAAGTTTGTGTTTTGAAATGTGAGCATGTATTCACATTGATGCAACTGTATTGTGCTGAGAAAATGTCATAGTCGTCTACTTACCTATACAAGCTGAATACTGTGTTGCCATTATGCATCAGGTACACATACACTTCCTCCACATCTTCATGTTTCATCATATTGAAGGTGAAGAAATACACCCCTGAAATGATTACCAAAGTATTTTCTTCATAGGGGGAAGTAGCCACTCTACAGACTACTTCTTGCTTAGAAAAAAAAAAAAAGCAGCTGAGACCAAAATTACTTCAGTTTTTTCAGTGGGCATTTTGCTCTGCTTGCAGCGAAACCAAAACCTGGTTCATTTTTGTTCTACATGTGTTGGGGGTTAAGCCATGTCCTGTTCCAAAAGAATGACTTTACTTGAACACAGATGGACTGCCCATCCCTTCCATCTGACTGAAAGTGAAATTTCCCAAAGGCTGAGTGTAGTGATTTTTCTTTCCCATTCTTTTCCTTGTTTTCATGTTCCTGCCTACTCCTGAAAGGGCTCAGTCTTGGAGGCCATCAGGTAGCCAGCACGCCACCAGGACCACTCAGGGCATGAGCAATTGTAACAGCACTCACTGCTGCACTCCTGGTTGTAATGCATCCTGTGCAATGCACTACTTTTTCTGCTTGCACAGCAGGTCCCTCTCTATCATCGTTCTGAGCTATTTCATTTCTGAAAGGTACCAACAGTATTACTAGAGCAGCTCTGTTACGTATCAGAAGCTTTACAAAATGCCTGCAGGAGGGAGGCGTACCTTCTTTTGCTTGAACTGTAGTTTGGTAGCATCGGCCCTACAATGGGGAGCTTGCAGCATGCATCAAAGTTGTTGAACAGGTCAAAGTTTATTAATTTCCACACACATTTTTGAGTGATTCTTTGTAGAGCTAGGAGTTGTATTGAATGATCCTTATGGGTCCCTTCCAACTCAGGTTTTTATGGTTCTATATACTAACCATAATATTATTGTATATATATATGTATATATATATATATAAATAAATAATATATTATATATAATATACCTTATTATTATTATTATATACCTTATTATTAATAATATTATTATATATAATACTAACCTTAATATTGTATTAAAAAAGCAGTTGGCAGGAAAATCACCTATGGTTCTAAGCGCCAGTAGGACAAGTGGCACAGCAAGCTTGGAGGGCCTGACTTCCATTAAATGTAACATTAAGTGTCATAACTGTAAGTAGATGAATAAAAGGGTGAGAAAGGCCAGATGGAGGAAGATGGTCTTAGTCTTCACTTACTATTGTTCTCCCTCCTCCATCTCCTCTTGATGGCTGGCAAGCCTTCTGTTGACTTACTCAGTTTCCAGTTTCATTTTCCTGAAAGCAGGTGGTAATCACTTTCCAGAGTAAGTCTGATCTTGTGCTAACTCGGTACTGCTTTCTCACTGTTACTGACCATGCTTTTCCCCAGAGGTCTGAGAATTACAATCTTTTGTTTGGCAAATACTCACCATTCACTGGAGCACCAAATCTCCCAGTCATTACATCAAAGAAATTCCCAACATTAGTTTCAACACTACTGAAGATGATCCCACTGTTCTGGTTGCTGAAGTGAGTAGCCATGGAAGCCATGAATGCAACCTGGAAAAATGTACTTCTTAGTCAATCATTCATTAAATGTACATGTGTCGAGGAATCAGCTACATTATTTTTTCCTGGATTTGCAGTCTGTTTATTTTCCTGACAGAGATGTTCTTCTAGGGCCTGTTCCAAGGCCATTAAACTCCACCAACAAAACTCCCATTGAAGGAAGTTAGAAGAGTACTAGCTTTCTTAGATTCAATTGGACTATTCATGACTGCAAAGGTAAGTGTATGGGCAAGTGTTTGCAGGGCAGAACCTTAGTTTTAGATTTTATTTACCTTCAAGTCTCTCTAGAATGATGCAATAATCAACTGGTATGATGTTTTAGATAAATGTGAATTAACTGATTTTTATATGCTCCCAAATGTACTTAAGCTGGATATTGCTTTAAATGGAATATGTTAAATAAACAATCTTGGTAGAATCCGTACATGATTGTTACTTGCTAACTACTTTCAAAGTTAAATTAGGCATTTTTATTAGAGATCTTCTAGAAGTTTGGTGGCTGGGATTCAATAATAAGCACCTTTCCTCTCTTGCCCCATATTCCTCAGTCATGACAACAGAGAATGGTAAATATCAAAAGAAGAAATTGAGAACTGTGGTTCTCACTTTTTGCAGGGAGGTATATAGGCTGTGAATTTTTTTTCTTAGGAAGCAGTGCAAAACCTCCCACATTGGACAATTCAAATTACTTCAGTAAGATACCAAGGTACAACCCATGTGTTGCATGGGGGAGCAGAGGGTTATCTCTTTTGTCAGTCTATAATCCCCCACCTGATTGTCAGTAGAAAGAATACAGGCAGAATTGCAGCATCTGCATGCTGGAAAGTCATATGGTGACTTAACGGACACTTTATTCCTCTCTCTTAATTTCTCTGAAGAAAAATTAGAAGAAGAGTGTTCAATTACAGTTGTTAAGTGCTCCCTACAATAACCAATTTTTAATGAGATTCCAGATAAACAGTTATTAAAAAACAAGAAGAAAAAAAAAAAAAAAACAAAACAAAGAACAACAACAAAAAAAAAACACCCAAAACTTTTGATTTCAAATCCAAATGAGAAATGAGGTGAAATCAGATGCCAGTTCTGATCCAACAATGGAAATCATTAGCCATTTTCTTAGAAATATAAGGACCTCCAGGTGTGAGCTGAAAGCTTGGGCTGATTTTCTTTATCCTTATACAGGTACATTTTCTCTGACAGTAAACGGTTACGTTCTTGCTTCTCAGCCAGGTTCACATCAAAGTTCATTCTATGTTAAAGCAAAGCAGCTGTAATGGCTGTAAATGGAATTTATTACTCTTTGTTCAGATTCCATTTCACTCTCTCTCTAACCCCAAGGTACTTTTCTGGGCTGATCAGAACAGCTGAAAAAAATGTCCTTTCTCTGTGTCTCATTGTGAAATGCAAGTCTTTCAAAGTAACTCTGTACTTAAACCAGCATTGTATTCAGAAGTCTTTTTACTCTTCCTCTCCTCTCTCCAGCGTTCTTAAGCATGATGTTAACAAAAAATTATGTACTCTACTCTATAAAGAATTTTTAAGCACATCTATCAAAGAGTGAATAACTTTTACCTTAAAACAGTTATTGCAATCTGAGCCTTTGTTATTCAAGCCATTTCATTATTCAATTTATAACTAAATTACTACCACTGTCTTATATAAGAAAAATACTGATAGCTCATCTTAATATTACAAAATGATCTATGTTGAACATAACTGCAACAAATATGTTTTCAAAGATATTCAGCTATAATGTTAATTCCACTTGCTTTTTAAAGATTGCTAAGATAATTATGCTGTATTACAAATGTCTATTAGTTTTGGAAACTGTTTTCATTTTCACTATTTTCTTTTGTCAGTTATCCCATCTTTCTGCAACCTAGGGCTGAGAATTCAAGTATAAATAACACCAAGAAATCTGAAGTCATTTTCCCGCATTGCACAGGTTGGTTATACTAGTGATTCTGCTGTTAATTTGCATAATCTTAATGAGGTTGTAAAACAGATATGAATGACTTTTATTTGGAAAAACACATAACACATTTCAGGTAAAACCTTTTCAAGTAGATTTTCAAGTAGATCAGAGCTTCAGTTTTGCCCAAAGTCAGAGGATTTTTAAGTGGAATTAATTTTTCTGTACATTTGCTTTATCCCAATTTTGTACCTTCAGCGGTGAACAGAGTTTGGGGGTATGAATCAGCTCAAGACTAAGACACTTCCATTTGAGTATGTACATGTGAGCAAGGATGTAAACTGTCTTGTAATTGCTGGAGATTTTATCTATAGGCTCCTTAAATCTGAAGAATCATATGCCCCAAAACAGCAATGATTGTTAGATGAAGTTGAGTTGTTCTCAATAATAATTCCCCAACAATAATGTAAGTCCCCAATAATTATAAAGGGAGTTTAGATGCTCTCTGCATAAGTAGGTTCCTCAATCTGGATCTAAGTCCAACCATAATCAGTGGCTCACACAAATGCATTTAGAGCCGTATGAAGTGCTTTAGGACTCCCCCTTGTGAGACTGGCTGATCTGACATAAGACCTACAGATGCCACCACAGTGGCAGCTGGAGACTCTAATCCCAAGGCCTTTCCACACACCCAAATCTTGCCTTTAGTAGCTATGCCACTCCACAGACGTACTCAAGTTTACTGCTACTGCTGATGAACTGATCATGTATCTTTACACTGTAGTGTACAGTGTGGACAACTCTTAGAATCCATTTTCAGCTGTAAGCAAGGATCTTAGATATCCAAGTCTCATTCCCTTTTGATTGCCTTAAGAACGGGATTAGAATCATAGAATCATATCATCAAGGTTGGACAAGACATCCAAGATCACCTAGTCCAACCATCCTCCTACCACCAGTATTTCCCCAGTAAACCTTCTCTAAACGTTTCTTGAACACTTCCAGGGATGGTGACTGAAATATCTCCGCGGGCAGCCCACCACTCTTTTAGAGAAGAAATCCTTCCTGATATACAACCTGAACGTCCCCAGGTGCAATTTGAGGCCATTCACTCTAGTCCTGTCTCCCTAGTTACTTGGGGGCAGCAGCTGACCCCCCACCTCATCACAACCTCCTTTCAGCTAGTTGTAAAGAGCTATGAGTTCTCTCCTGAGTCTTCTGCAGACCAGACAATCCCAATCACACCGTCATGACTCTGCTATACTGCAGGTACAAGTATGTGAGCTCTCCACCACCTCCCACATTCCTGGTGGAATGAATGAACTCTAATCTAAAAGCTAGAAGACTAGGTAAAGATAATAATAATAATAATGAGTACAAATATGTCCATCCCTCAGCAGAGCTTATCAGCTCAAACTTGAACTCAGTTTTTAATGCTTCTCTGGATTTTGGATGGCTCATACCTAACAGAGCCCACATGCATCTCGGCATACATAGGATATTGAACCATTGGAAAACACAGATGAATGCTGTGATGAATACCATCCTGCTGAGTGGTATTTTTTGAAACAAGAGGGCTCTGTTCCAAGTTCAAAGGTTTTGACCCAATATTTGGATGATTTGGATATATATACTTCTGTGAGTCTCACAAGGCCTAACTGACTTAAGGAGCATTAGTCTAAGTAACTCCTTTGCTCTTTTCTCTAGGAAGCAGAGAGCTATGTAATATAATGGAGCTTAATAGAAAAAATGTTCATCCTTGTTATTCACCTTTACTCACCCAGATACTGCATTACTGCTGTAATAGGGAGCCATATTTCTTGCTGTTACTTTCATGAATTCTTAGTCTAAAATGGGTAAACTTTGCTGATTTTCTTTTCCAGGAAGATCTGGTGGAGCATATCTGTCAATCATGACAAATGCTACATCTGCCTTTCACTGTGTTCTTTTACAGGTGGATCTCCTTCTCAGGTGTCCTGTACTAATCTCCACTGCAGCAAACGTGAGGCAGATGTTTTGTACCTGTAGCTCTGGAGGGATCCCAGGGTAACCCTTCTCGCCTTTGGGTCCATGATGGCCGCGCTCTCCCCTTGGTCCCATATCTCCTTTGTCTCCTTTCTCACCCTTGGCTCCTTCCTGGCCAGTTGCTCCATTATTGCCATTGTTTCCATGATTTCCTTGAAAGAAATGGACCTTCCTGTTATAACTTCAATCATTTCATGCACGTTAACAGATACTGTATCTGGGTCCTTTTTTAGCAGTTTGCAACACATGCACTTTTCAGTACCGTTGGATAAAGATGAGCATTTTCCAGAAGGATGTACATTGGTGTTTAAGAGTTAATCACCATGTTATCTTGTTATTGCTTTATTAACTGCAGATATCTCAGGTCAGTTGCCTTGCAGGGAAGATGTCCAAGGAGAAGACCTCATAGGACACGAGGCTGGGGTAAAGTGAAGGCCACTGTTGGCTGACGCGTATCAGGTAGTCTGCATTTTCAGTCTTATTTTTCTTGTCTTGTAAAAATATTTCCTATTAATTCAAGGTGACTAGGCTAGGATAAGATAGTTTTGAAAGACATTTTGCTGTCTTTAAAATTTTAAAGCTTAAGGTAACACTTGTTGTGTAACTTTAGCTACAAACTGGCCCATCTGTGCTGAAAATTGGAGGAGCTGTGTTCTTGGTGTGCTGGTTGGCCTTAACAGGTTGGTTGCTTGTTCCTAGGCTTGAAGACAGTGTTTCAGTGAAGCTTTTCTGAGAGGGCTTCTTATAATAGGGGTCATTACAACAAATGCATTTCTGCATCTGCTGTATTACTTCCTCTTGTTTACTGAAGAAATTACTGACCAAGCGTCTATGCATCTGACAAATTTTTAAAATTGGTCAAGATAACAGACTAATTATTATGCCTGCCTAAAGCAAGAGCTTGATCTTTCAGTTAATTACTCAGAGGATTAATTAGTGTCATCAATGATCTACCTGAATTTAAATTATGTTCTTTGTCACTCTCCTTGTTTTCTAATTAGTCACTTTAGTTAGGAATTTTCAAGAATGGTGTTGTTGAGAGCAAATCTGAGTAAGTGATTCTTCAAAGTTGTTGTATTAGGAAAACGACTTCAAATAAAATGTCTGAATGACAGAAGAATAGAAGCAATTTTTGTTTGGGAAATCAATAACTCCTCTAAATTACAAGATTGATCCTTTGTGTAACAAGAGAACCACTTCTCTAACAGCTCACAACAGAAGTGTACAAACAATACTTGATTCAATCAAGAGAAAAACAGCTGTTGCCCTTCAGCTTAAGTGTGCAGTGATAGGAAATGCAGCAGTTGAAGGAAATAGAGAAATTCCAAACTGCAGAGGGATACGATGGGCCTTACAATTCTGGCATCCTTTGGTAGAAAGAGAGTGTGTCTGAGTTACACATTCATATGAGGAAAAGGGAACGGTGGACTAGGCTGCGTCTCAATATTTCAGCTGGCAGCCTTGAAAGTGTGGTGTAATAAAAAATAGTGTGCTGCTCCTAAGAAGTTTGCTTTCAACTGATACAAAACGCATAAGAGGTTTCATCATTTCATTAATGTTATCTATCTGCTTTAGGGATGGTAATTTTCAAATCCCTACCCCCAGTAGCTTCTGTAATGAACATAGACTAACATAAGCTATCTTTTTCCTTTTATGGGCCCTTCTTTTTTTTCTAGGTGAAACTATAAATTCTTATTGTGTACCATGTTCTTCTGTGTGCATATTTTGCCTTAAAAAAAGTACTTTTTATTATGGAAAAATAAAACAAGCAAGAAAGAAATGAAGAAGTTTCAGTGAAAGAATAGGGGTATGTGTGTCTCTGTAGAAATTTGGCTAGCAGTGTGCCTGATGAAAACATCTCCTGAATACAGAACAAAATAGCATTACAGGATAGTCAGAGTGAAAACAATAATCAACTCCAGGAAATAAGTTGTTCCAGCTTTAATGGAAGCTTCATGCTACTTTAAGGAGAAAAAATAATTTGGCCTAGAAATGCAATGAAATTGCTTTCAACATGAATTTGTGAAAGCTGAATTTTATTATCAAATGTTTTTTCACTAGAAAAATCTTTAGAGTCTGTCCCCTCAGGAAATTATAGAAAAGCTTGCTTCCAAATCCATCCCCTGATACGGATTTGGATCATTCTGTAGTACTCCACAGACTAACCTGAAATTTGTAGCCTAAAATTAGGTTGCTCAAAAATCCATTAAAGTGCATCGTTACCTGGCATCCCAGGGGGTCCAGGAGGTCCTGGGGGCCCTTGGTAGAGTCGAACTCCAAAGTCACCGCGGCAGCAGGAGCTACAGTCTGGATTCTGTGGTCCAGTCTGGGGGGGCTAAGGGCACAAAAATAAGCTTTAAATAACTCATTCATGGAGTAAATTGATCATGTGCATGTCAGACACAGGCTCTTCATTATGTAGACTCTGCATATATGCTGCTTTTTAAAATGCTTATCTGGACTGAAATCTGCTATACTTGGGTTCTCTCCAAAAATGTTATTTTCAAAAGATTTAAGGGAGAAAAAAAAAAAAGTTAAGTCAAGTAATGGGGGTTTTGAAAATAAGATAATACCAAGTGATGAAAGCTAGATTAACATTTCAGTTAGGCATCAATACTACTTTTTGCTGATCCCACATTTCAGCTGACCTTTATTGACAAACAGGACTTTAGGCAACAAGTGGTAAGAAAAAAGGGATTTCAGTTGGCCATCAGCTATGATCCTCTGCTAAGCATTAAGGAAATTGGGTCAGACTGCTAGAAAGACATTAAAAATACACAACTCTTAAAGTCCTCAGTCTTGTGTATTTGCCAGGTATTTAAGTTGGGGAACCTAAAGAGTTACCAAGCTATGAGACAAAAATTTGAAGTGACTGCAACACCTGGTATCAATGGCATTTGATTATTAGCAGTTGTGGATGCTTGTCTCTAACCAGTTTGTATGATAAAAGTAATACAGCAATATAAATAAACTAATAGGTTAAATATACACAGCTCAGTTTCTGTAATAGTAGTTTGATAACAGCTTTATTTCAGTATTCTTTAATTGCACCCTGCTGTTTTTATTTCTATGGAGTCTCGTTCAATCCTGGTTAGTTTTCATTGTAGTGATTTAGTGGTCACAAAAGCTTCTGATGGCTCAGCTGAGGCAGATGTCCTGGATTTTATTTCTCTACATCTTCATTCTTCCTGTTTTGTTGCTTTTTCTTAACAATTCTTTGCTACTATCCAGAGTCACAAATGTGCAGTTCTTAAATTCTAGAGGGCAGTAATTCCAACTGCACCTTTTTTCTCAGCATTCTACTGTTTGTCTTCCTTTTCACTTCCTTTGCTTTCTTTCCATTCCATTCCTCTCTGTCATCGTCTAATGACTTGCTTAATGCAGATCTATTGGTTTAACAGCCAATTAGCCTCTGGTGAGATGAGAACTGCCAAATGATCATACAGATATGCTGTATTTCTGCCCTCAATGTCACCAGCTGGATTTGAAATACTGAAGTTTTATGTCCATGTTTTGAAAGCATTTAAGAAACCCCCCTGAATTCATACTCAAAATTCATTAATTTCAAGAGGCTTTAAAATTTATGTCACTGATACAGAAAGTTACCTTTCATGCCACCAAAATATTGCTTGCCACAGACATGTGCCCTCCATAGCTGGAACCACTGCCAGTGGAGCTCTCATGGGAATAGAGGCTAATCTGACAGCTCAGCAGATAAATATACTCATTATTCACAGACTTATAGAAATGTTAATAATTGCAGTGGACAAAAGGGCTTTGGATTTATATAATGTTGGTCAACACTTTGCTTTTTCACTTTTATTCTGGGTAAAGTCTATGCAGTATGAGAAAAATGAGTTCTACCTGTTTGACTGTCTGTTCCTGGAGAGCCTGTATCTCTCCTATCTCTTCTTATGAAGAGTAGAACAGATAATCACCAGGCACAATGATCAGACATTTCTGAATATGAGAGAAGTGACTGCTTTCAACTCATTTTCAGTCCTCGAAGGGTAGTTGAGAGGATGGGAACTGTGCAAACGTTTTGCACCAGCAGAATAAAGTGTTTGGCTGACAGCAAAATCTCCAGCTTTTTCTCTGATAGTGCTTGATATTCAAGTTAAATGAAAAAGCCAACCATATAGACGTCTGCCAAGTGCAAATAATTGTGATCAGCCTAGAAATATCCAAATAGTTACAACTGTGTTTTATTGCTATGTGAAATCACAAGCTCCCCAAAATGAAATACATGTGTCAGAAAGCCTCACTTCAGGCATGTGAGTGTCTCTGCACGGGTAAGATTTGTTACGTTACACAATGCACTGAAATTCTGACCAAATGGTATTAGATTACCAGCAATGTTATTGTGAAATAGACAATAGTGCTGGTCATAGCCAAAGCCTGTTTTGATATCATCTCTCCAAAGACTCAACAGGTTATTACATGTGCAGAAAGGCAAGTTCTGCCAGTCTAGTTATGCTTGGGCAGTCCCACTGACTTATAAATAAACACTTATGCAAGCCATAAAGAAGTACTGATTTATTAACTTTACTAATTCTTTGACTAGGAGGAAAAAAATGTTCACAATCAACTGCCAAGAACAATGAATTTTGAGGATACTTTTTAAATCTCTGAAATCAGAGAACTAAATGAAAGCTACAGTTCAAAGAAAAGCCTGTGCCTAATGTAAAAGTACACTCAAGTGGGACGTAGAGGTTAATTACAGCTTACTTGCCAAAGGTGTCCTACGCAGCCATTTCCACATAAATTTTATAGCACAATGAATCTTTGGCATTGCTTTCAGAACATAAATATGATTTAGAGGCTTTTGAAATGTATCTGCTACATCACTAACCTAAAACAGATAGAAAGCTGGAAACAGTGATAGCAGGGATATTTGCTGATTTTTCTAAAGTTTTGTATGTAGAAGGCAGTTTTAGACAGCAGATGGTTTATAAAATTCCCTTAATTTAAACTTATGAACTGATCATAATTGGAGATTTAGTTCTTTTTACTTCCTGATTAATTTTACGGGTTTCTGTTATGCTGTCTAAGATAATGCAGGAGACAAGTAATGTACAGCCACTGCTCTTGGCTCCTGTTCCAAATACATAATAGCATGCCTGTGTGGGCACCAGAGTTCTCTGTGCTACTTCTCTAGCAATGAGGTAAGAAAAACACCAGCATTTGAGGCAAAACACCAGTATCTTGTATAGTACCTGGAGGTTTTCAAGGAGCAGTCTCAAAAAGGAGAAATGTCTCTCCGTTCATTGAGTTCTCATGTTTCAGAAAAGCATATTTTTCATGAATTACTGGAAGTACAGAAACTGGCTTCTTAAGCAAATGCTACTGTTTCAGTGCCACATCACGGAACAGGATCTTTACTATACTTTAGCAAGAGTTCTCCAGCCACAGCTGAGATAATCAAGAAAGTAGGGACTTAGGAGTGAAACCTTTGACTTCACTGATTGGCTGTTTCCAGCAGCTGCCAAACAGTTCTTGGGGAAGGAAGAGGTTTCAAGTTAGAATATGTCCTTTCTGTCTTTTTTCCTCCGCTGCCTGGAAACCCCTGGAGTCTCAAGATTGAAAATACCTATTGCATCCACTCCACGATGGATTAGCCCTGTCACGTATCTGCTAGAACTCCATTTCATTTCAGTAAGCCAAAAGTTGCATCATTTCTCCATCATTTCAAAAGATTGCTTCCTAGAGAGGAGGCTGGCAAGTAAATGACTGTCATCAGCTGTGCTCAGACTTGCTGGACTCAATTTTAATGTCACAGTTTCTTCTAGCAGAAAACAACTTCATACAGGTACTAAACTCTGGTACAAGAGACACATGCACCCAGAAGCAGTGGAATCTATGGTGATGGAAAATTTTACCTTTAAAAAATCATTACATTGCATTAAATCTTGCTTTATCTGATATTTTGTTAGCAACTGTCTATAACTACCAGCAACAAAGAGTCTATAGTATGCAAGTGCACAATTCTCTGTGCACTTAAGACAAACACACATACATGCCAACTGACTCATTGTACAACATAGCCTACTGATTACATTGTTTGTATGTTGCAAATGTCATTCAACATGCCAACGGTCAAATGTCTTTCTTACCAATTGCACTAGAAGAACATAAAATTCCTGTGCAGGAAATATGAAGTGCAACTACAAAATTTAAAGACAAGGCATATAGTGGTGTAGTAAACTCATGCTCATACTCTGATGTGCTTCAGTCACTTAAGCCTAAAAAGGGGTTAAAATCAAATTTCCTGTCTGTTTATCATGAAGCAGATTGAGGAGTAGGTTGTTATTCAACACTTGTCTGTCTGTCCATGGTTTTTGGAATTCAAAATATCATGGTTTGATCTAAAAGAATTTTAAATCACAAATGAGAAAAAGTGAGCTGTACAGGACCCAACGTTGATATCAGTAATAAGAACAAAACACTCACATTCTTGTTATTTCTAAAAAGTACCAATTAACAGAATTTTTTTTTAGTAGCATTTTGTTGTGCTAGAAAAAGCTTCTACCCTTCAGATTTTTCTTTTGAATGTAGATTGCAGTATTTATGTATAATCAAACTGTTCAGTTTGCTGTAAGCTGATGACTGTAATATCCAAATTGCCATGTAAAAGGCATAAAACACCCCCGGTTTAAAAAGCAATTGCTGCAGTTGATTTTAAAAGTTTCATTCAAATCCAAATCTTTTCCCCATCAAAACTAAGTTGTTATATGTAATTACTAAAGCTACTCAGATCTCAGACACAAGTACCTGTGGGTTTTTTTCAAACATTCCTTCTGAATTGTAATTCTGACTACTCAGAATTTTGTTATGTTTGTCTCAATATATGACAAATATGATTTTCAAGTTTCATTCTCTGCTAGTTGAATCTTTGCAAATACCTCTAGAAATTCTTTAATTTTCCTCCAAAGCCAAATCAGTTGATCGATTCTGAAACTTTAATATATTAAGCAAGTAACAGCTTGAAAAGGTTAAGAGGCTTTATCTGAAGTTTCAGCCAAAGAGGGCTTCTATCTGTGTTATTACCATCGTCCCCAAATACACTGTCGACTCTCCCAGCTCATTTAAAAGTTGTATTAAGCAACCCAGCAGAATACAGACCATTATACAGCTGTAATAAAATTCATTTCATAAATATATTATTAGTAATCTTAAAAAAAAAAAAATCTCATTAGCTGTAAAGTTATCTTTAGAAGATTAATTCAGAGTACCTGGACTCTATCTGAGGTAGTCAGTTCTACATCATCTACCTCTGGTCTCAGAACATTTTGGTCTGTAGAAGAGCTATTAGCAACAGTCCACTCTATAAGTTGACTCCGCTGTTTCAAAATTTCCCTGCTTCTGGAACCTTTGTGGCCAGTCTGGTGGTGACTTTGCAATACTTTGGCCACTGGTTTATAAGATCTTCTGCTCACCTCCATGTATTCATCTTGACACAGGCAAAATGGAAGAAAAAATAAAGCCAGCAGATGCCAAGTGATGAAATCCTTCTCTGCCATGTTATTCAAAATAATTTCTCAGGAGTCCAGCAAAAGTCTTGCAGAAGGAGAGTTTCTTTGCTGCACCAGGAGTTATGTAGTCCTTTCAGCTATCCCACTCGTAAGCCTGGCACTGAGACCAGTACCAGGTTTTATACTGTTGTGCGTAATAAATAAAACTGAAAATGCCAAAGTGACAGGATACTTCATCCAAAATCAGTCATGCTCCTTTAAACAAACCAGGCATTATTCACCACTTCACCACCACAAGGAAAATTGATTTGTATGCTGGAAATGGCCACAGCATTTAACGGACTCCCATGGTTCCTATTTGGGGGCATTAAAAAATGTAGCACCTTTTCTTTGGCATGTTTCTGTTTAAGTGTGAAAAAATGTGATGGAAATGGAGAGCATGTGGCTAATGGTTTACGTTCCCTGATTAGACATGGAAAAGCTGTGAATTCACACTCTAAAATGTCTTTTGGACACAGTCACCTTCCTCTTCTGCCAGGAAATTTACACACACAACTGCGTCAGCCCAGTCTGAAAAATCCTTCCAAGAGCAATTAGGAAACAAAAGCACAAGAGGAGCTTTCGCATATGATTCTGACCCAGTGGCTGTTTCTGACTATGCTTTTCATTCACTAAAAGAAAAATATTGAATTTCTGTCAATTGGCCAATGGTGGAAGCAGACTGGATAAGTAGCTCTGAAAAACTGGGTTGAATTCAGATTTGCAGAGATCCATTTCTCAGTATTAGTTCAACCCACTCAGCCAGGCAGTATTTTTTCCCTTGAGTTTCCAGTGTTTTGCTAAATCAACTGCCAAACCAAATTTTATATCTTCTCTACCAAGTAAATATAAATTTACTGGGAGCTTATTTCAGACTAAATGTATCAAATTATATGTATATAATAATATCCTTTATAATGTTTTCAACCACCCACTAGAAACCAGTAGAACTGCGACAGCTGCAGAGTAAAGTTCTGCAAACGCACACATACATAGGCCCGCACACGTGCACACAACCCTGCTGAGAGCAGGTAGCATCCTGGCCTAGAGAAGACTTCCCCAGAATGCAGCTACAATACCATCACTGAATGCATCAGTCCCACGGGGCAATGGACTGGCTCATAATGAAGTTGCTCAAGGTGAAGCACACTGCCTAGCATTTGGACCATTGCACAGCAAAGCATCCTGTTGAGTCCTGAATTTCTCCGTAGAAGGAGACTCCACAACCTCTCCGGGCAGCCTCTTCCAGTGCTCTGTCACCCTCACAGTAAATAACGTCTTCCTAATGTTCATGTGGAACTTCCTGTGTTCCAGTTTGTGCCCACTGCCCCTTGTCCTGTTGCTGGGCACTACCAAGAGTCTGGACCCATCCACCTGATATCTGTTTGCTAGATATATTTATGAACAGTGACAACACCCCCCCTCCAACTCTTCTCTAGGCTGACCAGCCCCAGGTCTCTCATCACTTTCCTGTGCAGGAGATGCTCCAGGCTCCTCATTATTTTTGCAGACTCTGCTGGACTCTCTCCAGCAGTTCCCCATCTTTCTTGAACTGGGGAGCCCAGATCTGTACAAGTACTCCAGATTTGGCCTCACCAGGGCAGAGTAGAGGGGGAGGATCACATCCCTGGACCTGCTGGTCACGCTCTTTTAAATGTGCCCCAGAATACCATTGGCCTTCCTGAGCACGAGGGCACACTGCTGGCTCATGGGCAACCTGTCACCACCAGGACCCTCAGGTCATTCTCTGCAGAGCTCTCTCCAGCTGGTCGACCCCTAACCTGCACTACACTACTGGCATTCCTCCCCAGGTATAGAATCTGCCCTTACTGAACCTCAGAAGTTTCCTCACCGAATTCTGGGGAGGTGTCAGCACTGACATGTGCTTGGCCTCTCTCAGCACTGACCTATTCCTGAGCACTCTCCTCTGTTATTTGCTGTTTAGCAATCCATAGGGAGGAGTGTGGGGCTGTGCTGATCCCCAAAAAGGCATTGCCAGCCCCCATGGACATGCAGAGACCTACTACAGACAGCACAGGACTGTCACTCAGGGCTGCCCGGAATGAAGGCCATCAGATGAAGTTCTTCCTCATTTTCTCCTCCACTCAGCTCATAGTTATTTCAGTTCACAGGTTTGGAAGGTAGGGGTGTGTCTCCTGGCTTTATACTTTTGCATTTATCTCACTCATTTTGAAGTTCCAATCACAGGAATTTTAATTCAATCTCTATGAAGTTTTGGATTCTAAAGCTAGATGTTCAGGATCACAAAAAACACTTTGCAGATTAGCCCTTGAGCCCTGCTTCAGTGTGTATTAATTATCTAGATAGGCTTGCAGAATATGGTCCTTAGCTTATGCTTTATGACTACTGAAAATCCCTATTTGAAAAAATTGCAAATATTTCAGTTATTTAACTAGGCAAGGTAGAATGGAAAGGAATTTACTGGAAAGTTAAACAAGTCTTCTCTAAACACCATTCCAGACTTTTGAAGATGGTGCCACCAGGAGGAGGTTTCTTTTTCAAGGAGATAAGACTTTCACGGTAGGAAAGCAGTTTGAAAACCTTGAACTCTTCAGAAATGAGAATGACTCAGAGACAAACATTAGTTTATCTTGGCATTCAATAATTTGATTCAGCAAGTGCTGGGACAGCACTGATATTTTCAGCTGCCGTTAGGGCTTTCATGGCTTTCCAAACTCCGTTCCAGGAGCTTCCTGTGGCAAATGTTTCCAGTATGAGTAATGAATACACACTACACCCATGTCCCAAAGCAAGGAGGAATAAAAGCAGAGATTTGGGCTTTAAAGAACCCATCTATCATTTCATGCAAAAGCTGAAACAAGCGTGTTTCTTGGCAGCTATTAGAAAACATTCCCTTCTTTGCTTTCTAATAGAGTCCACCTGGTTCCTGTCCATCACTGCTCTGGTGGTTTGATGCTACGCATATTTTTTGGTCCAAATTAATGATGGAGTTTAGCCTCTGCTCTTCTTTTTTCAAGCTCAGAATCCGATCTGCAGAAGCTTTGTTGCCCATTGTTTTCCTCTGTGTCTTCAGCAAATAATATCTGACCCACAAAGTCACTGTCTGCAGGCAGAAATTTTGGACTTGGAATTAAAAAGAAATGAAGATACTGATTCTTCCTGGTCTCCAAATAGTGAAAAACACTTGTTCAAATGTGTGAGGAGAATCTAAAATAATAGGACATCAAAATAGCATTTGTTTTTTATTGGAATAAAACACTGAGAATGCTTCACAATGAGAAGAACAGATGCTACTGATATGGAGATGAGAAAAAGACTACAAGGTTGGGTTCTGTGTTTAGCTGTGGGGCCAGCGTGCATTGTAAGAATTCCAAAAAAGAATAGAGAACCCAGCTTCACCATCCCAGGCTTTTCTACGTAAGCTGGAGCGTCACCATAATTGCCTTTCCCCTGCTGACTTGGTTCTCTGAGAGCAGCATCTGCCTCTGTCTAATCATCAGCAGTTTAAGTTGAAGGGAAGAACATATGATCTGTGTATGTCAGATAATTAGACATCAGCTGAACTGATAGGCAAAAGCTGCTGCCACCTTCTCCACAAGGAAAAACACTGCTCCGTGCAGAAGGTGGCCGTTACTACTCTTACCTGTATTGACACTGGGAAAGTAGGTTCTTAGTGAGATTATTATGTAAAACTGTGGGACACCACTTCAAGAGGCAACAAAGTGAAACCATTCTTTTTTCAAAAGCCTGCTCTGACTGAGACAGGGTTGTATCTGCGATTAAACATTAACTGTTCCTTTAATTAGAAATCATTCATTTACAGTGCTAACTCCTTTATACTAGACACAGAGATAATCTGCACCTACTATGTCACAAGTCATCTCCACTGAGCCATATTGCCAGAGCCATTCCACAGATGGCAGGATGAAGGTCCCTCAGCTCCATGCTGCCATAATACACAACTGTCACAGAACTCCTGGCTCCATTACAACTCTCCATTTCCTTCATTCCCAGCGTGCTCCTTGCCCTGCTCTGCTGGGCCGCCAGCTCTCTCCATCTGGCTGGCACTGCTCCTGCAGACACACAGAAGTGAATGCTTCTCTCTCCAGTACCAAAGCACAATGCCTGCAATGCCTGGCACTGTGCCATTCATTGGCTTACTTCTCTATCGGCCATGTTCAAGGTCTGGGCAGAGCTCTCAGAACTCAGCGTGGCTGCAGGGAGAATACAGACTTGCTTTCAGATGGGATTTGTGAGTGTCATCCCCTGGGAGCATGGATGGAAGTTGAAGAGCCAATGAGCTGTGCAGTTGCTTTTCATATTATGTCTTTGAAGCCTTTACTCACCTCTTGTGCTGACCACTGCAAACCCACAGGAGCAAGTGAGGTATTTTCATGGAAGGCATCTGTGATCTGCTCTGTACTTCTACAGGACTTTTGGTCAGCAGCTGGAATTTAGGCAAATCCCACAGACATGAGTTATTCAGGCAAAAGCAGATTCAAGAAGTTTCCAGGCACTATGCATCCAGAAAGGGCTCACACTCACAGACTATGAGGAAAACCTTCTCCATGGTTAAACATATTCTTTTCCTGCAAGCTGGTTCCACTGAACTGTGTGGATGGTGGCAGTGAACCGCCTGGTCTGGGCACATACAAGCTGTACACAGTTCATATTGTTAGGCTGGTTCCCTATCACTAGCTGCTGGAGAAAGAAAGTGGGGCAAATCCAGCTGTGTTATGTGGTTTTTACCCTCATCTGAAGTGGGTGGGTTTGGGAGAGTTGTGGATCTCCCCTAGGTTTGACTTCCAGCAGGAATTCCTTTTGCCTTGTTTGACACTGGCATTTTCTTTTCAGTGTGATCTGAGAGCTTGTGGTGGTTTCCACGGCTGAGTCCTTACTCTCTGCTGATGTCTATCACTCTTTTGGGCAATCTAGGGGGGCTTCCTGAGGGAGATGTGCTGCAGCAGCCCTAAACTGCCTCTCCTTGCACATCACTGGATTTCTTGAAGTCTTAAAAGGCTCCTTCC